GTGCACACACACTGGTTATGTGGCCCGGGGATCCGGCGTCGCAGCTTATGCAAGTAACACGCACTTTCCTTAGAAGTTCTTTCTGCACACAGTTGGATCATGTTTGCCATTGTGTGAAAAGGGAGGGGGCTCAACAGCATCACATAGCAACTCCCCTGGTTATACCAAGAGGTTGCTCCATCACCATTGACTCAACAAACTCGTCCAGTGTGTCGCTCATGCCAAAAAAGTTCTCCAGCGCCCAAAGCTCAATTTGGCAGTTCAATTTACAGGGGAGGGGAAAAAAGAACATGAACACCTCTACGTGTTTTACTGCAACTGAGAGGCCACAAGCATGTTAAGTTCAGCAATGAGGTCGCCAAGGCTTTGGGAAAGAGGCTGTGGAGAGCATGGTAAGATGTAGAGGAATGTGTTTCCTGGCCAATGTGAGGCCTTGAACAGCGCGTCCCGCTGGGGAATCGTCCCCAGGCAGTCTGTTTTTGTCGGGACACTCTGAATCATCCATGCACCTATGTAAACATCGAGCATGAGGACACACACACACACTCGCAGCACAGTGAGCTCAGTCACTGGACTGCAAAGACATTTCTCACCCTAAAACTATCCCTGAGTGCATCTTAAAACACACACACACTCACACACGCACTGAACCATCACATTTGCATGTTATTTAGGATGATTAACTGTGTTGCACTCAACATTAAAAGTGTCGTTATGGTCATATGCACTAAAAAAAATATATGATACAAAATGTCCCATCCCCATAACCCAACAGCAGAGATTTTTTCTTTCTTCGTCAACTCACTCCAGCTCTTCCCAGAGCGACCCATGAATTCGTTGGTCTCTGCATTCCACAGGTATGTCTTCAGGTCGTCTATTTTCTGGTGGAGCGTCCTCTGGGGAATCGGCCTGCGCTTCCATCTCTCAAAGTTGAGGTCTTCCTGCTCTAGAGGCTGATGCTCGGCCAGCTCCTCCTGCTCTTCCTCCAGCTCTTGGCCATGCTTGAGTATCACTTTGTGAGGCTGGTGGAAAGAAGAAGAGAAAAAGCCCTCACCACACATATTCTAAACTGCTGAGTTCTACAGTGAAACCTATTTGCTTTTCAAATTACTGCAGGAAAAAAAATGGCATGCCTCCTGATCTGAGTATGACCGATAACATAAACTGCCAGACAGCGCTCTGCATATTAATGAACTGATGGTCCTGTCCTCCGTTTCTGCAAATTATAAACCCGCTGGTGACCTTGTGGCACTCGTTGGGAGAGCTGACCTCCTCTGAGTGGACCCTCCTGCCTGGAGCAGCAGCTGCAGACAGCAGAGCTGGAGGGTCACTCTGACAGCCAGCTGTTACTGAGTCTCAGCATCCAGAGGCCAGGACACACAGATCCCAGAGGAGCCACGGGACACATCATTTGCGAGAGAGAGGCCTTTATAAGAATCTGCTGCTACGGGAGGATGGGAGGGGGGTTGATAACTTTGAGGTTCATCAAAAACGCTCATGAGCCAGAGGGGAAAAAAAGAATAAAATAATCTCAGCACTCACAAGACTTCTAACAAGCTTCTCCTCAGCTCCTCCCTCGGTGGAACTGGGCTCCATATTCTTCGCAGAAAGAAAAGGTGCCAGTTAAACCAACCACAATCCACGGTGTCCATTAAATTACTTTTCAATTCAAAGCCAAGCTATCTGAAATACACAATCTGTGCTCTATCGATGAATGAAAAGTTGGACATACCTGAAGTTCTCTTTTCAATTAAAAAACACGGATTAATAAGTCGAAAACCCTATTGGCCCCCAGAGGAAAAAAATATTATTTGTCAAAAAGTTTTGGGGGATTTCATTAGAAAGTTTTAGGCGTGCAGGGGGAACCGGGTGCGGAGAGCTTCCCTCAACTAGGCGCGCATCATAGTGAATGAGCGCTGGCCGGAGAAAAGCTGGGGGTGGGATACAAAGTGCTTTTTCTTTTTTGGGTCCCACAGACGTTTTGGCAGCGGCC